ATTCTTTATAACAATATTCTTTATAATAAAATGAACATTAACTATAGTATCTATTTTACATAATGAATTATATGAATATTAATTTTTCTCAAAATCATATTCTCTCATATAATTCAAAATTTTGCTTTATCTAAATCACAGCATTACGAAGATACATTTTAAGAAACAAAGAAAAATAACACGATTCTAGGATTGATTTCGTCTCTTGTGTGAACTTCCATATAATCGTACATACATTTCGCATAAATTAATCGCAAGAATCTGGCTACACGTATGAACGCTAATCGAACAAGCGATAAGGATTCCCGTCCCACCTTAGCGTATCGTCCTTTCTTACTTGCCATTCTTTTATCTTTATGCGAGTTTTTTGCTCCTTCTTTCGAGACAAAGACAAGTACTCGATCCATAATGATGTTCGTCAAAATAACAGTGTTTGTACAATTTAGAGTGTGTTGAATTTATACATGGTAAAAGTGCTCGTATCTTGCATGCGTTTATACGTGTATGAGTGGTGACTGGACAGCGATCGTTGCTTCGATTCGTCTATTCTTTTGCGATATAGCGAATAGTAGAATAAAGACAAGGCACGACTCGCATCTATATTATTTATTTCTATTTTTTCTTTATTAAATATAATTCTAATAGAGTGTATTTTATTTATCTAAGTATATATTGAACGATGATATGAAACAAAATTTGAATATATCTAATTTTGATTTATTCATTTCATTTATTGCACAAGAGTTATTCCTATCTTTCCTTTATTAAATATATTCTAATATATGTATTCCTAGATATATATCGATACGATGATGTGAAACAAATTTTGAATGTTATTTACGACCTGGTATCTAATTTTGATTTATTCAGCGTTGCACAAGAGAGTTAGTTTTTTAGTAGAGAAGTTGGTACGCGTACTCGTACTGAGGAGTGGGTGACAGTGTGCACTCGAGAATAAGGTCAGTTAAGAGTAAACTACGAAGAAGGGGCTTAAGAAAATCAAGCCAAGAGTCGCGATGCCCGCGCGAGAAATAGAAACGATTTTGTGTTAAGATTCTGCGTACGTTTTTTCGCAATGGAAAAAAAAATTAGTTTTTACATTCGAAGCACAGTACAAAATCTCTTTATCAAATATTTATCACCAAACAAATTGTAACTTTCAATTTTATAAATCACGTTTTATAAATCGTGATTTATGATATATGTATGAATTTTCCTATCCCTTTTTTATTTATTGAAGTGTCGCTCGTGATAACGAATCTGTTTATAAACTCGGCTATTAATCGAAGGGCAAAATGAATTAAAAAGTAATCAAAAACCGTGAATATAAATCATGGATAATTAATAAGAAGGGGAAGAAAGAAGCTATACTCAGCATGGTGAAGATTAATTAATATAACCGAAAGTTCATTTAATTAAAAAACTTTCCATCCCCGATAATCGCCTGTGACAGATTGATCGATTCGAAGAGGTAATCGACGTAACGGTTGTTGATACAAAACGTTGCAGGACGTTGCAAACAAATACTTAAACGCCTTTCATTTACGTATACACATTCACAATACATTTTTGAACACACGTATAGAGCAGAGATTTTTATCAAATGCGAGGAAAAAGAACGTTAAACACGTACTCGAAAGAAATTATTACAAGTCGAGATGTAAGGAGATGATTGGTGGCACGACAGCGCCACCAATATATATAAAAGATTTTTAACGGCGTTCTTTCGAAGAACGAGATCAGATTGTTATTATTTTTGTTCCTACACCGATCCAATTTCTTGCATGCGAACCACCGTCGTGCAACTGGAGCGCGTCGATTGCAACTTCGGCACACGTTGTAGACACGAACGATATCGTGTCGCAAGCCGCTTTTTCAATTTACAACGCATAATTGCCGCCCCTAATTCCTAACGATTCAACGCTGCAACGATTGTTACGAAGAGAGAGAGAGAGAGAGAGAGAGAGAGAGAGAG